TGAGGCAGCTGAGTCTCTGAAAGATGCAGTAACTCATTTAATTTCACACCTAGAAAGTAGCGGAATCCAAACGTATGACTTGAAACACTTTTTCATTTCTTCACGCTACTTATAAAGTTTACAGGCAACGAAATGTTGAAAACTAAAAATGTTGCCTTTAATATTGAATGCTGGACAGTTTTATATAAAAGGCAGCAGGAAATTCAAGCCTATACATACATATATATGTATATATATATATCCATATATAGAGAGAGAGAGATAGATATAGATATATCTCCACATATATATACATATATATATCCACATATATATATATATATACACATATATATGTATGTATAAACTTTCCATTTCAATTTAGAGTTCAGTAGCATCTCTGTCTTTTGAGGTGAAACTAAGCACAGAAGGAAAATATAGGTACATTTCTTTTAAATTACAGAGAATCAGAATTTTACTTAATATAATGGGCTAAAAATGGGATGGCCTATTTGGAAAAGTATCAGGTTTCTCATCCTCAAGCCCATTTATGGAGGGGTTAGATAATCAAATGTCAAGGATGACCAGATAATTTCCAGTTCTACCTCCATAGATGCTTACCACTTTTGCAATAAGATAATCTAGATCCAAGTTGCATCTATATATCCACATCTACCCAACAATTATGGAGAAACTATGGTTATAAAGAGCCTGTGTGTCAAAGAAGTGTTACAATGTAAATGACGTGGCTGTTACCCATGTGAAGAACTCTGAATCTCTTTTCCAGCAAGATGGCAAAATACAGAGCAGCAGCACAAAGCCAGAGCAAATCTCACCTCTGAGGGCAAGGGAATGCAAAATCTGCCACAGAACATTTCACATGAGAAAATGTGCCTAACCAGTAGTTTCAGAGAAGGGAAAAAATTTACTTTCTGAAGGTATAGCACCACGTTATTTTCATAAGATAAAGCTAAATAACAAAGGAAGCTGAAATAGTAAAGGAAGCAAGAAGTTTAGTCAATTCCTTGAGCTTGCCACTAGTAGTAGTCTTATTTAGCATTTTCATACGTGAACTGAAAAAGAAATCTTTATATTTTCCAGAGAAATTAAGATTTTTGCACCTAAAAATATGTTTTTCTGTGTGGAGAAGATTAAAGTAATTTTTGAAAGCTTTGTGAATGGGCAAAAAAGCGACAGATAGGCTTCAAAGATAAGAAAAGACTTGTAGAAAATTTTAAATATATGTATAGTATATAATATATATTTATGAGAATGGGTTCTGTAATACAGTGTGAAATAAGATCCAAGAACATTACAGAACTGTCGGTGAAGATATCAACTGATGGACTGCTACAGATAAACTACCAGGCCTCATCAAAAAGAATATTTTAAATATGACTAGAGAAGGCAATCTATCTTTTAAAAAAAGATGATATGCCTAGAACTAGAATAATAAATATAATTCTAGTCACTGTACCCTTAAAAAGCCTTAATGGGTTATAAGTGAATAGATATGTGTTTATTTATATAAATGTATACTACATACAATTGTTATCATAATCATATCAAAAGACAAAGTTCTGTGTAAAGAAAAAAGTGTAAACTCTTCAAGGCTGTAAAAATGAAAACTTAGGTGAGCTATTACTGATCAGTCTATAAGATAATAATGTATACGTGGTAAATAACTCCTGTATGAGTATTCACTATGTTCTAAATACTATTCTAAGCATTTAACATGTGCTCATTTAATTTCTCCACAAAATTTATTCCAATGGGTACTATTAATGTCCAAATGAAACACAGAGAAATTCAATAATTTACTCCATGTCACACAGCTAGTTAGTAGTAGAGCCAAGATTAAAACATGGGCATTCCGATTTCAGGGTGTGTGTTCTTAACCACTGAAATGTGAAACACAAATCTAATCTTTAACATCAAGAGACGTACTTGAACTGGTAGAAGCTAGATTTGAGGTAAGTAAAAATTAATAGATAATGAAGCCTTGAAGTCTGAAAATAAAACTTTGAATCTTAAGAGACAAAACATATTTAAAATATACAAATAGAATCAGGAAGTTTTAATAGAGTTACACAGACGATAGCATAAAACAGAGAAAATAGGGCAAGCTGAGGCAGGTCAATCTCTGGCCTCAAGTCCTGCCACTCTAGGTCAGTCATAACCTCCCACAGAACTGTGCTTAGTGCCCTGACACACAGACAGATAACAGGCTGCAGAGCAGGATGAACCTCTGGTCTCACTCTGGATAGCATCCATTCCTCCTGCAATGTGGAAGTATCAGTCCTCTGTATCTACCTGTGTCAGCATTTTCAGTATGAGTCATACACATCTACAAGGCAAAAAACAAATCTTACCCAACTCACTGGGCATATAAACCATCTTCGGTACCATACACAAGATTTTCGATAAATAGATCTTAATTATTACTATGTGTTGTTATTTCCCTCAATTTCACAACTTCATACACCCATAAGGTCTATTTTGGGGATAAGAATGTGTTTTTGATCTATTTTCTGTTCACCACTACTAAGAATTTGGCTGAATGCATGACTTTATGACACTGCTTTGAATAGAGAATCTCAGTAAAATATTCTTTAGGGAAATACCAAATCTAAGTTGAATAATTGTTCATTTTTACTGAAGAATTTGTTCTGTTTGGGGCAGTGATGATCCTAAGGAATTTTCTTCACACACAAAATCTGCCCTTCTGAATCCATCGCGCCTTTGTTCAGCTGCTGTTTTTGCAATTTACCTCAGGCCACTGCTGCTCATGTTACCAGAACATCTGGTATGGAGCACAATGATTGCCCTTTTCCAGTCATTAGTTAACTAGAAAAGGAATGTCACACACCATCTCCCGCCTTCCTCCCATAAACTTTCTCTTCCTGAAAATCTGACCCTACTCAGGAGAACACAGATTTTATTCAGTGGAGAGTTGGGTCAAGTAGACACCAAGGCTCTCCTTTATTACACCTATTAAATATAATGTTCTATCCCAGGTATCGAGAAACTTTTTCCCAAAAGAGAAAGTATGTCTGTGGCTTTGAAATTTGTGTACATTCAAATCATACTGTTGTTTGTCTATTCTCCTAAGAGTGAACTGTCAACATTTGGCCTAAACTGGTCTGGAGAGAGTGTGGCTCTTAAGAGTTTTTACAAAAACTGGGTCACCTGGAATCCTTGGCTAAAATCGAGAGAGGTTGGGGAAAAACACATAGTTTTACCATAAGTTCAGGAGTAGCAAAATCTACTCCAAGAAGTTAAATAATTAGAGATTAAAAATTTTAAAAGCTGAGGATGTACATACTAATTTCTTTCTCTAAACCATAATTTGCAGCTACAACTTTACTTTCAGATAAATTTGTTTTCTTTCACAAACACGTCCATTATTTGATGCCTCTGACAATGATAGGTTACTACTTGATAAGCCACAGCTACTCTTCAGTGAGTCCCTTCTTCACATAGTGATATCCACTTTCGTTGTGGGAAGTACACTCGTTCTTGTCTACATCCCAAAGCATGCTGCCTATACTCAGTGTACATAGCAGTGACCTCATTCTTCCTCAGATTTTTAGCTGTCCTCTCCACTAGATGGAGGAGTATGGATCAGGTCTAGTCTCTAAATGCCACTATTTCAAAAACAATGCATTGGTCTACCACTGAGCCTTGCACATATGTAGGTGTGCTTCTTGCATTACATTTTCTCAACTTCATCTAAAGAAAACTCACATCCTCCCAAACTTGACCACAGCATGCCTCCCAGTCTACATTTCAGCTTTTCAGAATGGTCTGTCTGAAAAACAAGAGTAGAAGTTGGATACATACACTTTAAGAACTAATGAGAAATGCTACATGTTGACAACTGAGTATTTTAATATATTCTAGAGCAGATGAGTAGTTGTCATTATTTAAAATGCTATGCATTTCAAATATAACTTGAAAATAGGTTCTGAAGGGGACCAAAGTTTTGACACTCTGAAGCTGCCTTTTTAGGATATTGATTATAAGCTATTTATTAAGAAACAAAAGACTGAGAGGAAACTCCTCGCCTTTTCTGCCCAAGAGATTCAGACAGAAAAACCTGCTTCAGGAAGAAAATCTTATGATGTTTGCCTTAGGCTAATTTGAATTAAGTATAGTAAATAGGAGGGCTTCAGGCAGGGGCCTGTTAACTAGATATCCCATGTATCCCATAGTTGCCTAGCAAAAACTTGCCTGCCACGTGTGTTCACTCTTCCTCAACTACCTGTAAATCACCCATTCTCACTTCTGAAATTTAAGACCCCATTCCCAACCTTTTCTCCTTTGTCCAAAATTCCACATATAACCAGTGTTGCCTCAGCGTCTTTGTAATTTTCATGGTTATGTGTATTCCCCATGCGCATGTATTAAAATTTGATTTTTTCCTGTTAATCTGTTAATTTGATTATTAGCCCAGCTAGAAAAATTTAGAAGGTAGGAGAAAAAGTATTAATAATATTTTAGCCCACAGTTTTCAACTTTAATCATTTAACCTCAAAGCATTTTTATTAGATTGAGACTAATGCTTTGACAAAAACAAAGATTGTGCTCTCAGTCACAACCAAAACAGGCATAAAAAATTTTACAACATCCTTAAGCTTCTGAAACTCAGTGTTTAATGAAGTTATTTTAAATGATTGTTAAAATTAAGTGAGCTTTCCTAATACAAATTCTGAATTTAGTTTTTATTATATTTATAAACTCAGCGTGTGGTAGAAAAGAGAGTTTCTTCACAAATTTCTCCAAAACAGCCATGAAACGAGTATGACCATGCTCCCCTTATTCATACTGGCACTCAGATAGTTGACATAAAGCAATAAGAAGCTTTGCTGTCGGTATTTTGATAAATAACATTTTAATTATTAACGTCATACCTCCTGTAGAAAGTCCCCTTCATTATTCATCTCACACTTTTATTTAAGTCGCCCTTGGAAACCACAATATCCTCAACAAATGCATTCAGCATGTATTTATATGTATACCTGAAACAAACACTGCAGATGATGAATTCCATGGAGGCTCTTTCCAGAGGGGTCTGGCAGGTAATAAAAGATAAACACTGGACTCTGATGTGTCATGCCCAAGGCACAGTATGCTGGAAACGCACTAGAAGAGTCGAATGATGAATGCTCATTTATGCCTGACTTCCTACAAACAAAGGCATACAAAGCTTAAAACTGTGTTGATTGACTTTTTCTCCAACATACTGAATTTTTGTTATATAACAATTGTATTCTGGAATGAAATCTATTGTTAGACTCAGATGATGAACCCTTATTAGACAACTGTGCTATCGAAGTCCACAGACAAAAACACAAATGGAAAAATACAATGTAAGTGACCCAGATTTTTACCAATTGGAAAGATCTACTCATTTATAATTCTCACTTTCATTATCTTTTCTAGGGTCCCTTCTGGTCTCTAAATTAATTCTGGTTCTTCATTCTGTAACTATAGCCATCTTTCTTTAGTTTTTTCAATTCTCCAAATATCAGTCTCTGACAAACCCCAGCCCTTCCCAGCTGGCCACAGTGAGCTTAGAAATATCTACAATCTGCCTACATGGTCCCATAAACAATCCTAACTCAGTCAGAGGAAGTGGAAAATGCTTTCTCGAAGGAAGTTTAAAATTACACTTCTGCTGCCTTCAGTTGTGACTTCAAGAACAGTTGGTGAGGGAAGGAGGGTTTTTTTTCTGAATCAAACCCAACCCACTCTAAGCATTTTCCATGGATGAGTGTATAGCCTCCACAGCTGCTCTCGTCTGGGACCTGTAGGCCCGAGGAGGCCCAGGCCAGTATTCCAGCCAGTCAGCCAGGTCTGACTCTCTTATTCTATTTCTATAGTTGCATAATCATCATTTTATGTTTGTTGTAATCGGCTCTGCTTTTTAATTTGTTTCTTTGTTCATCTCTCATCTGTCCCTTTCTTTGTCTCTCTTTTCTGCCTTATGAATTTCAATATCTTCTCAGTTTACCTCCATCTCTTTTTCTAATCAAACCATAATATAGATTTCAAACATACCGTTTTTAACAGTTGCTATATTGCTGACAAATTTCGTTCTCTGTTCTTAATTACAAAACTGAGTATCTGAAAATTTTTCATTTCTCTCTTAAAACTTAAAAAAACTAAATTGGGCCTATTTACTTATTCATTCAGTACATTTTTCACAATTTCATCCTAATGCGAATGCTAATTCTCATTATAAACCTTTATAACTCGTCTATTTATTTCATAGAATTGAGACAAAGTAAAAAATTACAACTGAAGTATCCAGAAAATCAATTATTTATACAAAACACAGCAATCTAAACACTGTCTTATCCATAGCAACACCCTCTTTTCTTAATCCTCTAATTCTAATATCCAAGATGAAATGGAAAAAATGGTTGTATCATAAAACATTGAGTTGGTACATTTCTGAGAAAGAAATCAGTTAAAGAATTAGATCTTACTAAGTTGTTAGAACATATTTATTCTTCATTTAGAAGTTTTCATGTCACATACAGAGTAGTCTTATCTTCACAGTGGTGGCACATGCTTCACATCATAAGTCAGAGATACTCATTTCCAGTGATAACTTCCTCACTGAGCATCTTTCCAATTCTATTGTACTCACTGGACCTGTACCTTATCATCTCTAACCTCCTAATCAAATTGTCTTTAGCCCCTCTTCAATAGCATTGTACTCTTTCCTGACTCTAAATCTCAAGATTAGCTATTTTCAATGAGTTTCCCAACTTTTTCTCCCACTAGTCTAGTTGTATACATACTAAAAATCAGTTGTAGTTATTTTCAAAATTGTTTATCCTAGTTGCACTGATTAGTGCAAATACACAGTTAAGTTAAATATTATGTAAGCTAATAAAGAAAGATATTTAATATTTCTTTAGAACTAAGTAATGATTTAAAAAAGACTTGAAAGTGCTATATGTTTCAGTTCAAGCTGCTATAACAAAAATATTGTAGACTGGGTAGCTTATAAATAACAGAAATATATTTATCACAGTTCTGGAGATGAGGACATCCAAGATTTAGGTGCTGGCAGATTCAGTGTCTCTCACCGTGTTTTCATGTGACAGAAAAAGTGAGAGCACTCTCTGAAGTCTCTTTTATAAGGACTCTAATCTCATTCATGAGGAATTCAGTCTACAGCAATACATGTCTAATAAATGTTAAATTCAGTTTGAGTGATACAATCTTTTAAGAAATTTAGAAAATTTATTAAGATTTATTCTCTCAGATTGTCTTACAATGCTCTTTATGATTTTGCATCACAAAAAAATACAAAATCATAATTTTTACGTGATGAACTAAGATAATGGTTTATAAAAAAAGACAATATGGGATTGAAATCAATGGAGATATGCTCAAAAAAGACATCGTTCAAAATCAATAAGTTGGCTAATAAATGTATAATTATATGACTTAATTTAAAATCATATGTTTAAAGCATGTACTCTTTTTTACGATCCTCTGTTTCAGCTGACTTTCTTGATTAACCAACCATTTTTTTACCTGATTATTTAAGACAAAAGAGTTCCTTTATAAACTTTTCTTTAAAAAGTAAATGAGGCCACTTGGGGACAGATGTCAGATATTAAAACATGCACTTACTTTTGACTGTTCCAAAAAATACCTAATTAAAAAGCATAAGCAAAAAAAAGGGAGAAAGAAAGAGGAAATAGGACAATAAAAAAAAATTAGATAGTAGAAAGCAAGCGAACAAATTGTAGCACACTTTTAACAAACCTCAGAAAGCTAATCTTAAATATTCAGTAAGGAAAACCAAGAACTAATGCAATGTACATCAGACTTCTTAGGAAAAAAAGAAAAAGAAAAAAGACAAATCCAAGACAAAAAGGATTAAAAAAAAAAAAATGATCAGTCCAGTAGATCCAAAAGGTAGTAAAAGGCTTAAGAGATAGATGGGAAAAAATAAATTGTCAATAAATCTATATTCAACATTTTTTCATTTGCAAGTATTTCTTCAATACCAACAATGTTCAGAAGGCTATCTCTGTCAAAATGATCATAGCTATTGAGCCAAACATAAAATTCAAGCCTTTCCCCTACCACTCTTCTAACATATGGAAAGACTGTTCAACTCAAATACTTCCTCTTGCTGAAAAGATGTAATCTAATTGAATGGATCCAGAGAAGAGTGACTAAAATGATTAAAGGAATGATGGGATTTATTTTATGAGGACAGATTGCAGAAGCTAAAATTTACTAAGTATCAGCAAAGGGAAACAGTATGTTGTTTACCACTAAGTTACTGCCTTCTGATGAATTATTTAACAGAATTGGTGGAGCAAAGGATGCAAATTAAGAGAAAGATTAAACTCATTCTTTCACTGTAGGAGAAACAGTGGGGGAAAATAAAATCACAATGATTCTGGTTTTATTTCATGTTTATGTATATTATATGTTACAAAACAATGTATGAAACACAAAGTTCTTGCCTTCCCACCACTAACTGCTAAAGAAATACAGTAAAACATGCCCAATGGGAGTAAGGGAATAACTGATTTTTGAGAATGAGTCCAGAGAAAAGAATGGTCTTTCGCACTACCTCCATCAATCACAAAATTGTGGTTTAAGGTCAACATAAGGCCATGACAACAGTGACAGAATACTTCCACTTTATCTTTCTCCAGATATGTAGTTGTCCCAAAAGCTCCAGGAGTTTGCTTCTCTTTCATATGTATCCAGTTGCGACATCGACAACCAGAAGACTGCCACTGACACTCTTTATTGAAGCCAATGTGGCAAAAAAAAATGAGGAGTAATATTTGGGCTCTCTTAGTAGTTCCGGAAGTCCTGATAACAAAAGCTCTCGGATGTCCTCTCCATCTACCTACCACCCATCTTTCCCAATTCTGCCTAGAAACATCTCATTTTCTAAGAAAATGGTATATGTGTTTACAAATTGAGATATAGGACCAATCATTTTTTAAAAATAGCTTAGGTGGGGCTGAGTAGAACATCAGCAAATTCATGTATAATACACAGATTGACAGAGAACATGAGAATTTTTTTTTGTCCTCTTCATTTACTCTGGAAAGAGAATTTCTTCTGTCATTTACCTCTTCAATAAATTTAATTAAGCAATATATAAAAAACAATGTAACTCTCTGAAAAAAGTACATGACAATTATGTAGATTTGATGAAGTAAAAAACTAGTTCAAATCATTTTAATTTAACATTGTTGGCACATATCTACAAGTATTCATATATTTAGCACAAACTTCACAAAGTTAAATGAAGTCAATTATGAATATGAAAGCATGAAATTCTAGAGTTCCAAAGCACATAAGGAGCTTGCAATCAGATATAATGAGTTAAATATTATTCCGAAACAGCCAGAGCTATATTTAGGAAAAGAAGGGGAGTGCCACAGAATACATTTTTATAACATCATTCATTTAACAGATTTGATAGTTCGTGTTATCCATATTTCCTTCTTTTATGAATGACATTCTAATTATGAGACAAGGCTTAAGAATTATTGAGAACCCCAAAACCTTTCATTTATGTGAGTTATGTCAATCAGTATTTACCATATTTAAAATAGAATAATAACGAACATAGTACATATTAACATAAATAACATTTTAAAGAAAAATACCTACATTTTTCAAAACGTAAAAATAGAAGCTTGACACCATTTAAATTTTTACAACTCTTTTTAATATCTACAAATAGAAAACCACTAGAATTTCATATCTGCTTTTGCAATACCACATGACATGCAGCCTCTGGAAAGCTCAACTGCACACTCATGAGAGAACGAAAGTGGAAAAGGCAAATAATATCTTAGTATCATTATGAAAATAATTTTGACCACATAGTCTTCTCAAAGGGTCTAGGGGGTCTCTGTGGAACTATACTGAGAACTGCTGCTGTAGTGAAACAGCCAGCAGATTAAAAACTTGAGTTCTATATGAAAACTGGTTCCTTAAAGGCAAATTACCAAATTTTCTTGATTTCAGTTTTTTCATGTGCAAAATGAGGTTTGAGGTGAGATGATCTCTCAGGTTTCTCCTAACTTTAATATTCTGTGATTCTGTAAAGTATTAAAGAAAGGGAAACCCACCCACAGTTCCCTCACTCCTATAATGTAATTGTCATAATAAAAAAATGA